TATAAAAAATTGTTCAACTTTATACGGACATTAAGCCGTTTTCAAACCTAGGAATACCTTTAGAAGAGCGTGATTAACGATGGTATCTGTGGGTTTTGAAAGGCTTAAAAAAGAAAGAACTATCAGAAACACGTGTGTACAAAAAAATATTAATAAAGAAAAACAAAATAAAAATGAAAATAAAATAAATATAAAATAAGAAGCTACTCTTTTTTCATCTTTTAAAAAATTTTGCATTGGCACAAGAATTGAACATTTCGAATGAAACGAAAACGTAAGTACCACGCAATGCTTATCCAATAGGCCGCAAGGGCTTCTTGACAAAAGACGTAAGACATGGCGTGGAAACACTGAAGCCTTCAGCAAAAATTGCATGAAGCGAAGTATATCCCTGTCAATTCTAAATTTAACAAGCTGACGTGGAAGTTCTTTTTCCAAAAGCGATGACACACAGAAAACACAATTCTTCGTAATGACGCCAATTAGCAGCGGGCAAAAAGTGGTGATGAGGAAAAATTTGTTTGGCCTTTTTTAGACATTCATCTAAGCACTGAAATAGCAACTGAGTTTTACATTGCTCAAAAGTCTAACATAAAACTCGTGGAAACATCAACCATTGTTGGCATAATAAAAATTGTTACCATTATTGATCATCTATCAACAGAAGTTGAAAACAAGAGAAAAACATTATCATAGCTGCATAAAATTTTAACCAAAAGTATGAAAATTAGGCAAACTGTCAGATGTAATGGCCATTTTGGGCTTGATTTATTCCTCGGCAATTTAAAACAGCAACAGTTTCTCTTCCTGCAGGATATTCTACTGCATCGGAGCGCTTTTCGTTTAGACAGACGAACCGGACGGAACACTGTAGGAAAACTCTGCAACACTAAATTTTTAGGCTATCCAACCGCTCCATCGTTTTCACTGGAATCGCCTGTGTATACGCATGATCCATCGATGAATTTTCACGCAGGAGCGCTTTCAGCTGGTGAGTATTGCACTTCAATGACTATTTAAGCGCCCCGCTAAAAACTAGATATGCACAACACCTTCTTGGATTTCTAAGCTAAACTGAAGCAATTAAAAAATTCATTCGGCTGCCGTCTCGATGGTTTCGTCTTCATCAAAATCTACTATCTGAGTGGATGGTCCACAGTTGCTTGCCTTCTCGATGTGGCTTCTTCGTTGTCGTACCGAGACGGTTCTTTTTCAGTGGAACGTCGCTCGAGGAAATCATACTCACACGACAGCGCTCCTTTTACAAAGGACGAATATTGTTGATGTGACTATTCATTGATAATATCTTTTTTCAATCAGATAACCCATTCTTCAGCAGTCGGTATTATCTCAGCTAGCATATAGCGATTAGAAAAACAATGATTTTTAAGCCGACTGTTATTTAACATCGGTAGCAAAAGTCAACAGCCTATTGGGTTGTTAAGCAAACACGAGGTTGTTATGGATGAAGATCCTGATAAAGACAAAGACGTCCAAACGTTAGCCGAATAGATTTCTTTTAAAATCAAATCAAAAAAGCGCCTACGGGTGAGCATGCCTCATTCGAGCGGAGTTCCACCAAAGCAGATGCGTCTCGGTACGACAACGAAGAAGCCACATAGGAAAGAAGAACTTTGAGCCATCGTCTTGGATCATCGGCTTCGATGAAGACAAAAACGTCAAAAAATCAGCCGAATAAATAATCTCTTTAACAACCTCATGTTGGTTTACCAATCCAAGAAGGTATTGACTATGAACAAGAGCATAAGTAATAATTGGTTCAAAAATTATTGTTTTGCTGAATGCAAAGCTAATTCTTCTTGCTGTAGCAAACAAGCTGCTTTTTGGAAAATTGGCCTTCGAGTAAATTTATGTTCGTGAGAAAAGGATTGGATTCGTGTGTCCCATATACTCTCAACGACACGAATATCTCCCAGTGCCCTAGCTACGTCTATCTGGGTGGGGAAATCAACATGATGGATGGCTTAGCTCCAGAGATAAGCAGGTGGAAGCGAGCGGCTTGGGGAGCCTTGAAGAGCATCGACGATGTAAGGTGGAGGTCCCCACCTTTCGACCCCACGACTCTTTCCGCCCTAACGTATGCGTCAAAAATCTGGTCGCTGCGTAAGCAGGATGAAAGACCACTCAGCGTTGCAGAACGCCCTGTCGAAAAGACAGTGCTATGAGAATCTTGTATCACACAAGTGGGAGAAGAGATCCACAACCACGATCTACGTGAACGGACAAAAATCAGAGGCACCGTTCTTTGGGCTAAACTGTCGAAGGCCGGACACGTCAAATCATATGAAGGACAAACGATGACCCGAAGCTGTTAACGACTAGATCCCTTGGAATGTCAAACGAATTACAGGAAGACCACCGATCTGATTTTCAGAGGTGTTCATGGAAACACTAAAAAAATATATGATGCTAAACGAATTCCTAAAGCGTGCAGAAGCCGCTGAGCTACTTTTGCACGCGACAGGAAGAAATGTAAAACTTTCTGGTGCTAGCTCCAGTCGACGTTCAGGACGACAGATGGCCCTTGTGATACAGGTATTAAACAAGGGTTCACAAAATGTTGTATAAGGTATAGCTTTTGTTATAAGAGAAGACAATGATAGTGCTTATAAGTGCCCTGCAATACGCATGTGATACCTCATTCGATCCTGCCAGATCCACTAAAGCGCCTGGTTGGGTTATCAGGATGTTTGTGGGTGTAAAATTTCTACTGATTCTTTTGAAGAGTTAGGAACACTCTCGTAGAGCTATCCTAGGAATTTGCCGAAGGTCCTTAAGACCAGCATCAAACAATCCGTCATGAAGTAGACGAAATCTTCAAACTGCAGTCGAACCTGAACAGAAAACCAAACACCTTGGATGACGGAGGCGAAGAAACCATTCGAATTAAAGAAATGATAAGGGCTGCGCAATGTATGAAGAGGAGTCCTATAAAAATTTGCAATAGGAAGAACCTGGAGCAAGAAAGGCAATAGAGAAAAGAGTACATATTTGAACAACAAAGGCAACGTTTCTTTCACAATTTTATGAGAAGTGATAACTTCTTGGATTAATATTCTTTCCTAGATACAGCGAAGCAACATTTTAAAAAATTAAAACTTTTCAAAGATTTTTTAAGTAATGTTATGAAGTTCCATGTTGGGAGTGCAAGAAAGCTGTAGACAACGGTAGACGAGCCTGATTCGAAAATCCAGTGCACCAGTTTTTACCGCGTTGCAGGCAGTTCGATGTATACGCTTCCTCCAGCAGATCCATTCCAAAGAACGAATCCGATGAACATGAACACCACCGGTGTGGAGGATAAAGGTGTCGACCTCACTGAGAAAAACGGGTGAGGGCTTTACATTTTCGTTTATTCCTTTGGTCAATGAGGACCAATATTTATTCACTCGTAGTTGCCAAAACCTAATCCACTCCTTCTGAAAATCTTTCTTATTTTATTTTTTAACTAACGGACGAACATCATTCTCTAATCCTTTCGCGATCGTACGTCATTGGTGTGTGTGCCGAGTTCGCCAGACTGCGTGTCATTGGAGCACAATTGATATGCGCATTGAAATGAAGATGTAGGTTCCGTAAGTCCCCGCAAGATGCACGACGCATTGCTTTTCCGAGATTATCGTTCTATTGTTCGGCTCCCTCAAAATTTTTCTATCCGTCCTTATTTTTTACATATCCGTTATCTTCTTCCATGCATGTTCCTATGTTCTCGAACGCCTCATGAGTGATCTCATGAGTGAGAAGAGGTCTTCTTGCGCCGTAACGCTCGGCTACAAACAACACCACTAATACTGTAGAGGTTGAACGATTTCGGCTATTAAACACTGCATCATCTAGCCGGGTCACTAGACCTCTTACCAAACGACTAACTGTTTTTCTGACGTCTCTACAACTACTTCCATGTGCAGATATAGCCGAGCGGTCGCTGAAATCCTACTCAAAAATTCGTTGCTTCCAGAATATCGGAATTTTACGCTACCTTTATGAGTTGTTCCTATCCTGTTAGCAAAAAATTGCGATTTTGATCGGTTCTAATCTTCTTGAGAAATTTTTTTTTGAGTTCAGTTATATTGCCTTTAGGTTTCGGCTCAAAAACGACTATTTTTAAACCAACCTTATAACTTGTTTATTGTTGTTGAGCAACAATACACAAGGTTGATATGAGATGTTTATTCGGCTAACGTTCCGAAGCTTTCGTCTTCATCGGAGCCAACGATTCTTGTCTATGATCCACAGTTGTTCCTCTTCTCGATGCGGCGTATTCGTCTCCATTATCCTTATAATTTATTATCAACGGATTATTATATCAGCAAGAACATCCTTGTATAAAAGAGCGTCGCCAGGTGAGTATGGCTCATTGGTGATGCTTAACTGAGGAAGATCAGATTCGATGCGAACGAAGACGCCACATCGAGAAGAGGAGCAACTGTGGACCATCGACAAGGATCGTCTTCTCTGATGAAGACGAGAATGGAAATATGTTTCTGTTTTTTGGGGAAAAACCGTAGCCTTTTGTTTCTACTCTCCTTATCCCTACCAATGCCTACGACATCCACAGCCGCTTAAAATTTAAAAAACGTTGACATATTATTCGAGAAAAGGCATATTTCAATAAAAATTCACTTTTCTCTCATCATTATGAAGGAAAAGGCATTCGGCCTTATTCAGTTCCTGAAAGATGCGTCATACATACTTGACCAAACACCTTAGAAGTATTTGGATGCCTATCTGAACTATACAATAGCTTCCTAGAGGAATCAGCCAACAACTTGCCAATCACAGAGAGATAGAAAGCTTGATTAACCTGAGCGCGACATCGAACCAGTAACTGGCCCTTTATATAATGCTGCATACTCCCGCGCTACACAACACTCCCACATCATAAAAAAAAAGTAGTTTACTTAAATTCACTATGTTACCACCAAATTATCCTTTTTTGTAGTTCAAAAGCTGAAGACGAGGACGATGGTGCCGACGAAATGGAAGAAGATGGCGAAGATGAGTACGATGCTAACGGTGGGTCATTTTCGATCTGTTAAAGGTGAAGGTTGAAGTGGAAATAGCTCTGAGCTAAGAATATTTGCTTTCACTAAACTTCGCAAAATATTTGAGGAAAACGAAAAAGACGAAAGCGACGAGTTCTGTTCACGAAAGGTCAGACTTACGAATTGGAGAGGCGATTCCGCACTCAACGGTTTGTTACCGGCCTATTGAACAAACTAGTGATAAATTTAGGAAGTAGTGGAACATAAATATAGTATCGCTTCCAACTTATCCCCTTAAATCACTGAAAATGTTTGGGCGATTGCAAACCAGTCTCGTAAATAAAAATGCTGTTGTAGCTTCTAATGTTAATTTACTATAAACCCTTTCACAACTTGCAAATCGAATTGCTACATTTTTACTCCTTCATATTGAAACACGAGACCCCAGAGATGAATTTGATCGGCATATGATTTCATGGAAAATCATTCGGGAGCACTCAACTTGCTTGAGTCCTAATCTCTCCACGGGGATCTGTAATCAGCACGATTATTGCTAGTGCCTCTGTGTCGCTCAATGGTTAATATTAGACTCATCTTTTCAATTAAGATATCTGAGCGCCCCAGAACGAGAACAGCTTGCGATGCAGATACGTCTCACTCCAACGCAAGTGAAAATATGGTTCCAGAACCATCGGTGAACAGGGGTTTTTTCCATTCATTCAATTTTCTATTCTAAACAGCCATGGAAAAAGTTATTCCAAAAAAGATCCAGCTGCCGTTTTAGGATTTGATGCCAAACAATTGCAAATTTTTATCAATGGCCTCGTATCTACTGGGCACTTCCTCTTTGTTAAAAAAACGATAAAACCTCCTTGTTATACTCATAAATTTTGAACACTATTATGCAAACAGGGGCGCGTGTGGAGCAGTGATTGGAGGTGCCCTGCAATAGACAAGTAGAATCGATAGCCGTGCCCATGGCCCACCAAGTCTTCCATTACTCCGGGGTCGGAAAATTGGTAGCAGGCTTGTCTGAGCAGATAGCAACATTGGCTCGACACACCGGTAGGCCACGGCGAATCATTTTAAAGGCCAGATATTCATTCATTCACCTCTAAACGATGCTTAATGAAGTCGAATGCATGGCGCATCCCTCAGGGAATAATCAACGCCGAGAGCTTTATTTTTTCTTTTACCCTTTATTATGCACACAGTATGAAATTTTTTGCTTAACTTTCAGTCGATAACTAAATAGAAAAATTTAGAATCAAGCACTTTTCGTCGGCTTTGTAGTCGACGAGGTGAGGAGAATTTTTGATGGTTAACGTTGCACTTGTTACAGGTATAAAACGAAAAAGACAATCCAGGAAAAAGGTCTCAATCCAAGTCTGCTAAACTCGCCGACCTCGTTGACGCCAGCGAGCACCGCGTTCTCACCTCGGAGGTACTCAGTTCATTTTTTATTTCAATTACTGTTTATTGTTAATCTAGTGATAGCAACTAGATAATACCAGTAGTGGTCACTTGTCACACTGATCCTTTATGATCCTCTTACAACTTTTGCCATAAAAATATTTGAAGCAAAAATAATCAAGCAGCAAATAGACAGGTCCCTACTCCCATAGGCGAAACATTCTTCCATTGAATATCCAACGAAGTTGAATGCGCGACACGCTTCTCATGAGAAGAGGGAGTGCTGCTTGATCTGATAAAAGCCGTAAATCCTTCAGCTTGAAAATTTTCTCTAGAACAACGTGGATACGGAAAAAAGAGGTGTATATGTCATCGTGATTTGAACCACAGTATTTGTAGTTTCCGGATGCCTATTCAAATGTTGGTTAGGGATGGCAAGTCATGTCCTGCCGAAATCAGCTCTTCACCATACCAAGCAGCTGCTGCTGCCGTTGCATTTGGTGGAGGAGCAGCTAGGTGGGCCAATTTTTGTGGATTTGAACTGTTTCAAGTAAAGTCCCATATTTCATGCGTGGAAACATCGATTTTTTCAGTAGCGAGGAAGTGTAGCTGGTGCAGAGGGGGTTAAATACGAGGCAAAAGCGAACATAGCCTTGACATATGGATGAATTCAGTGGATGAGAATACCGCTTCTGCTGTTTCCGACTGGCTAATATTTTATCTACAGCAATTTTCTGCTCCGACGCAATTCATTATTTTGGCAAGCGATATGAGCGTATTTAGAGAATGATGGAGTGTTTGCATCACTGAGAGTTAACATATTAGCAGATTATCTTGGCATCGTGGGGAAAAGTTTATTTAATGAATTCTGGTTATAGAACAAAGAGAGAAACAGTTGGAGTGCAGAGAAACCAGACTATTGGAAAAGCAAGAAATTTGCCTCTACTGAGCCAGTATTATAAATGCAGTACTTGCCGAATGAGAGATTTTGATCTGGTAGAATAAGCGACAGCGCAATCAGCACACATTAAGGGATAGCGTTAAGTGTCAGTTTTCTCTGCGTCTGGACTCAGTAAATCCAAATTGTTGTTTGAAATACATCAAAATCTTTCCGGTGTAGCGCAAAATTTTGGAAAAACCAGTCCAGAAGTGTATCTCATTGAGCCAAATTTGTGCTCGCTGTGGTGACTTGGAAGTGGCGACGGAATTATGACTTCATTCCCGCACAATTTGAATCAAAATAAACTATGAGCAACATTTTCTAACAGCCGATAATGTTTCTCGATTTTTCGGATTTTTAGGAGTTTTAATGAAGCACTCTTTTTAGTTATCTTCCCGGCTCAACCGGTTACCTGCCATCCACCGGCGGCTACCTGCCACAAGCAGCGCCAACAAACTCGTACGTAACGAATAGTTGGGGATGGCATTGATTAGATGAACCATCGATGATTCTAAGCATAGATGTAATTTCCAAAGATGTTGGCTAGAAAATGTTTATGCAGAGATTGTGCTGAAGATTTGTTTAAATATCTTGAGAAATCCGCACCAGACCGGTACTTTTCATTGTTTCATTTAGTTGTCTTCTATGATCCCATGTATAGATAAACCATCGATGAACCAACCATCTAAAACTTAAACTGAATTTGTTTGAAAACAATTTTTCTGCATATCAGATGTTGTTCTCACCGTTTTGAGAGAAAGTAACCAAAGTTTTCCGAACCCATACAAATTTCTATGTTCCAGCAATAAACATATATTTCTGAAAAGTGTTGACTTCTGCAATCGGAGAAGGCCAGAAGAAAGTTGTATGAAAAGATTTCCAAACACTGGTAGAGAATTTTGTTGGTAATTCAATTACAGCGTAGCTTTGGTTATCCTAAATTTTTTGCCATCTCGTTGCTTTCTTAAAGAGGACTGAAACGTATGGTCAGTTGTCCCCTAATGTGCCTCCTGACGAAGCACCATATCTTTCATTACTCAACCCAGCCACACTAATCATAGAACAAATATATCATGTCGTCGCCCCTATTCATGTTTGCCGAAGCATTTTGCAAACTGTCAATGTGTTGGTTTCTGCAGTTCTCAATTTACTTTATTTTACCAAGCCTGGCAACTGTCTATGTCATGTCTAAAGTTGAAGGCGCTTGGCCACCGGCTATTACTGTACTGTAGATATATCGACGACTGTTTTCTTATCGACTAAACACGAGAGGATATTAGCGAATGTTTTGAATTGCTAAATCAACAGTTGTTGTGAATTTCACCCGAGGAAAACCAAAGAATGACTGGCTTCTGTTTTTGAACGTTCGAATCAATCTGTCCAAAAGTGGGTGCACTACCAAATGGTATCAAAAGGCAAATGGTATAACAAAAAAAACACTGATTTATTACCCCTTATCTCACCTCAGTCCCTCACACAGTGAAAGGGTGATTGTGAGAAATACGAGCGCCGGAGTGTGTACAAGATTAGAACAGAAGGAGAAATCGCTGAACTTGAGGCGAAAAACACCCACTTCCAATGCTTACGAAACCGTAGCTATTCAGGATAGGTTTGGGGAAAAATGCCCCAAAGCGGTAAATCCAGTAAAAATATGCTCCCGTTTATCCAGCTCTTCATTTTTAATGAACTGAGTGGAGCTATAAAACGTTGCTTTAAAAGAGCGGGTTTAGAGAAATTGGTGGCAGTGATTGAAATATCGCGAACACTCTTAGACGCCAACGACTTTGTAACCGTTTGTAAGATCGTCTATGATGTATGATCGTCTTTATGAAACTCACAACTATCCAGTTTGCCCTACCGTGGAGAAGGTGACTGGATGGGCTTAGGCACGGTGTACCTAATCTCTTCTAAAGCGTGCGAGGACGAATACGTTGGCTAAGCGGGTAGTACTCCGCGCCCGTATGAAAGCACATATTTGTCGCTACACACCCACCTGTTACTTATGGCTTGATTCATAGGAAATTGTGTCACCTCGTCCTATCATTCTCTGTATTTCACCTCCACGCCAAACCATGATCGTTAGCATCAGAACCTTCTCAACAAATTGTAATGATAGCAAATGCGATGGGTGAAATGTTGAATTGGAGTGTGAGTAGACAACTCTTCATATATTTAGGACATTTAAACAGCGAAATATGAATGGCCACCGGAAACGACTGCACGGTTGGCAAATTTGGAGCTGCCTACTAAAATAAAAATGGAAAGTATTTGCACTGCTGTTGTCCACAGCTCGTCTTCCATGGAATTTTCTTTGTGGACAAAAGGAAAATCTTCAGTGGACATCGGTAATATTTTTTCTGAAGAATGAAGCTCAACCAACTCATCCAAACAAATTGTTGCTCATGACCATACTCCTATTGACGAAAGCACTACCCTCACATATTTCTCTAAAGTAAATTATATCAGCTAGCCTCAGTTCGCGATAAAATTGGAGCAATCTCCTCACACTTATCTTACCAGATGCCACCTTGTTAGGGAATGTTTTGCGATCACAGGTACAAGTAAAGAATTGTTTTTAAGCTCAAATGGCCTCTGATGTATTCATTTCCCGATCAATTAACCACTGGTTTTTGACCAAGTCGACACTTTTAATAAGGTTTAATCACGGAAACTTGCTGGTTTTTCTCATTCGAATCGTTGTAGATAGAGACACAATAACATCTGAGGAGCACTCAAGGAGAAGATATGGAGCATACTTGTTGGAGGCAACGAGGAACCACATTCAGCGGTTTTTTGGTCACTTGATTGGAGGACTTCTTCCGAGTCGACCTGCCAGATGGAATCTGTACAAAACAAGCGTGAATAGGAAGCAAGTCAAATGACAATCACAGACACGGTGTGTGTCATTTCGGCACAACAGAAAAAAGGACTTCGGACACAAAGCATTCTTTATTTTGTAAAATACATTTTCACAAAACAACGGATTTTTCTGCTGTCCGTACCTTGGAACAGTCTACTTCTCATGACAAACACATGTTCGGTTTTAGTCCATTTTTAACCTTTCCCTGCAATCTGTGATGGTCTCAAATAGCGGCTAGCATGTAGGGATCCCCAACGATGAGGATGATTGGTAAATAATAGTGTATCATTAGCGGTTGGCTAAATGCAAAATGAATTGCAATGAGTTATGTCCGAAGCGTGACTAACTTGTATGTTTGTCCGCCAATCAAATTCCTCTCGTCAACAGTATTTTTTCTGGCCGTCCTGACTATCACTAACACTGCCATTATTCTTCATTGAAAATCTGTTTTCAACAGTTACCTCGTACTCAACGACCTTTAACCGACTCTGCATACCGAGGACTTTGATGCCATTCATCTCTCCCATCGATAACGCTCCTCGTAGTTCCAAACTAAACAATTGCCTCAAATCAGAGAGATAGGGTGATTGTCATTCATGATAAAAGTGCTATAGGTGTTTCACATTATTTTTGAAAAAACAAGGGCAACAAACGGGTAAAATGGAAAATGAGCTCTATGAAACTCTCTACAACGTAGAATTTGGAAACTAGAAAGAAACAAACGACTGACGCTTCCTGTCTTCGATCCTTTCACAGTTACCACGTACTTGAGCTCAAATTCCCATACAGCCGTTTCGCTCGACTGGCGAATATGAAAACTACACACTTAGTTCAAGCCCAACGTCCTTAGAATTGCTTTGAGTGGTACCAAATGTGACCATTTGAATATACGACGAAATTATTTTGTAGCTGGTTGAACATTTTCTTGTATCAATAACGTCACCAAAGCTTCAATGCTGCAATATTCTTTGACGCCCATTTTGTCGATTCTCATGGAGTTTCTTTTTTGAGCTCTCAGGTGATCTTTTGTTGACAAATGTATGTGAAAACACAATGACTCAACGTCGAACAAGTTCAATGCAATTTACATGTTATAATTTGAAGAAACAGGTCGGAAAACTACGCGGTGAATCACTATATTTCATTGATACAACAATGAAAGATAGAAGCCTACACTGGCACTGAGAGAAGTTAACATTAAAAGGATAAAGGAAAAAGCTCTTGGCGTTGATCAATCCCTTAGGGATGCACGATGCTTTCAATTTCAATAAGCATCGTTAGAGGTGATGAATGCA